ACAATATATATATAGTTAGGGGGTCCCCGCTCCATCTTGCCTTCAGTTTGGGGGTCATTGGCCTGGAAAACGTTGAAGACCCCTGCTCTAGAGGCCAACACTTAGTAGGAATCAGGATCAGAAGAACATTTCCGTGGAGGAAAGAAATGCCATAATTTCTAAATGTAATTGCTGATATATCTCTTCTTCCCAGCTGTTACTATCAGTTTATTTAATGGCTTTCCAAACATTTCAGTTTTTGACCCCAAAAATAACAATGTCGCAGATTGGCAACTCACAAAAATGCACCAAATTACTTCACTGTATATTTTCTTTATAAATATAAAATTAAGGAATTGTTTTTGTTTTGTTTTTTTTCTAAATCACATTTATTGATGTTATTATTTATGGAGCCCAGGCGGAAGGTCAGCTGAAGAAACTGATTGCTTTCCTACATCCACCTGCGATACAGCCAATCAGCTTTGAACCACACCTCCACGAAAGCCAATCGGCATCCAAAGTTCATCTTAAAAGGCCTCCGATCCAAACTTATCTGCTCCTGTGCGCAGGCGGTGGTTGCGCTGTGTGACATCATTCAGATGACTCCTTTTCAACCCACCTCCAGCCTCCCCTCCACCATCGTAGCTAAAGCTTCATCAGAGTGTCGTTCTTCCTGGACTCTTACTACGTTCCCTGTCTCATCTCAACCGGTCAGGCAGAAGACCGCCATGTTGAGCCTGGTTCTGCCAGAGGTTTCTTTCCAAAGGTGAGTTTTTTCTTCCCACTGTCACTTCATGCTTGCTTATCATGGACAGGTTCTCTCAACCTGTGTTATCCAAACTTGACATATATGGGAGAATTTTCCTGCCATAATGCAAGAGCACATGATTTCAATTTGAGAAAAGAATTTCATCTTCTTGCTCTCAAAACTTATAATGCTCACACTCCAAACATGCGCTCTCTCTCAGATATTTTCTCTTCTCTCTCAAATCTTTGTTTCTTCTCTCAGATTTAATGCTTCTTGCACAGATATTTTCTCCTCTCGCTTGCCTCCTTCTCTTCGTGCACAAACCGCGCTCTGCTCGAGTCTCAGATACGCTCGCAAACCTTTAGGCTCTGCTTGCGGATTTTTTTTGCTCTCTCTCTGATAGCAGTTGGATCGTCACCTAGCAACCTTTCCAGCAAATAGAACGACAGCCTCAGAAAGGGCTTGTCTAACTCTAGNTCTCTATATAAACAAATATATATTATTTAGACACAAGATACGATTTAAGGGGAACTTATTTTAAATAGTTGTACAAGACAATACTGTATGTTCAAAAAGCTATCATCTATAGAGTCATACAACACAGAGAGAACCAACCAAACGCATAGTTTCGGTGAATCTGTCAGAAACTGTCATGGCAACTTCAATTTATTCCTTAAAATAAAATTTCACACATAAGAAATTTGATCTTTGTATTTAGATTTTTATGCAGACATTATGTTTAAAAGTACAAAATGTTGGGTGATCTGAAATGTCGTTCTAAAATCAAATAAATTGCTTTCTTCAAATTTTGTATGGTTTTACATGATTCGGTTAGTCAAGGCAAAGCAAGTGGCATAGTTCATGTTTGTATTTTTAACATTTTGCATTTTAATGTTGCCCCAGCATTACACAGACTTTCAGATTTTATTTAACGTGAATTATAGTGTGTTTGGGATTTCATTTTTTGCCGCCACATTATTAAAGGGCAGTTAAATAAACATGAGTAAAAAGAGTGACTACCAAAACATTTACAAAATGTAGACGTTAAAACTTTGTGCATTGATTTCTGCTATGTTTTATAAATGCTGTAGGATTCACCAATAAAAAGTCTTCTTGTCATGATTTTGGCACTGATGACTAGCTTGGTTGTTCATTCCATTCACCTGTCTAGCTCCACCCAGTTTCTCATCACCGTTCATCTGTGTCACCTGCTCTAGTCTCTATTTGACCTGCCTGCTCCCAGTCATCAGTGACACTGAACATATTACCTCATAAATCATTACCATATAAACTTGATTTTTAGTTGAACACATTGTTAATGCTGTATTGATCCTCTTGATTAGATGTAAAGTTATTAATACTATATAACTTTTTGGCAACATGCTCAACTGCTTTCAGTTTAATTTCTTTCCTTTATGCTTTTTTTTCATATAATTGGATGTACAAGAGCTACAAACCTGAATATAACTAATACGGATAAAGCAGTGAAAAATCTGTAATTAGAGACGGATCGGTAATGTGTGTCAGTCTTTTTCTTAAAATGTTTTAGTTAAATAATAAGACATGAAAATATCAAGCAGAGAATTTAACATGGTCAGAAAGCTAACACGTGAAGCTGTAGAATAAGATGTTTTACAAACTTTAGAACAATCCGTTGTGCTCACAGTGTGCTGTCTCAAGGCTGTCAGTAGTATCTGTGCTTCTCACCGGACCTACTCACACAAAGGAGCATTGTGACACTGTGCCTCGATATTTATGAAGCAGCACTCCAGCACACGCCTCCCTCTCTGTGAGATCCCTCCTCTCTGCCCACCTTTCTCATAAATATTACAGGCATCTTCTTCAATATTCATAAGTTGGTATCGGTGTGGTCATGTGTGCTGAGACTGAGAGGGGTAAAGAGGGGGGAGTGTCTCAGTGAATGGGAGTCACAACTCTGGTGTGTGATCGTCTGAGTGTGAGGGTAAAACAGAGAGAGAGCAGGCGCCTGTTTCTACTTGTGCCGTCCGCTGAGGCTGCTGTGAGGCTTGCCACATCTGAACCCCTCTCTTGTTAGACTCAGCTGGAGCTTTCCGCCGCTCTGAGCAGCCGTTGGCTCTGAGTGCACGATTCTGTGAATGGGATGGCACGAAGAGATGCTTGCTGAGGAGTGACTGATGAGAACCAGCGCTCCAACGTGGATGGTGACCCCCCTGTGTCTGTGCCACCACTACTCGGGGAGATTTAGGCGCCTGGCGTTTCCACGACGACTATAATGGGCTGCAATCTGTGCACTTTACAGAAGAGAGAGGAACACTACAAGCTGCTGTATGAAATTGCACAGGTGAGTACTGGCATGGCAGACTGTGGCACTGAATCGCAATGTAGGTTTATGTAATTCTTTATGTATGCAGAGAGCAACACTACTCCGGAGGCTTGGTGGAAGTACATCAGGTCCAAGATGTAGGTAAAGGTAGAGAAGATGGATTAGTGCAGAAAATGAAATTGATGTAGAAAAATGGAGCACTGGCACTTACCCAACAGCAGAATGTGTTTGAGTAATGAGTAGTTGCTTAGAGAGCAGCTCGTGTGCAGCCCATTCATCCTGCCAGATGAGCTATGCTGAGAGAGCAACTTTTTATGTAATAGTCTCACCTGCTGTTTAAATGTTTGTATCCATTTCTTTGTAAGTCAAATTTCAGGGTCAATGAAAATATTTTGTTTTTTAAAAAGATATTTATTTTTGCCTCTCTTTAAGGATCCAAATTGATTTTGTTCTTGGTTTCTTAGAAAGCACCTAATGTTAATGTTCTGCATCCCAGTTTATACAATCAAGTATATATTCATGCAGATCTTAAAGCGTTGGAAAACCAACCTATTCTGTTAAATTCAATTCAATAAGATTTCAAATTATTTGAGTTTGTGATTCAAGTTTCTTCAAGAACTCCTGGCAGATGGCTGTGCCTGTGGGCAGGGAGAATCTCATGCAGCTTCTTACTTTGCAACCAATCTGGAGAAGGCTTTCATTGAAATCCTTTATTGTACCGAGGAGGGTCAGGGGTATCCATTTTGGTTTTCATTTTATAAAGCATCCTTATTTGAAAAATGCTTTTAAGACTTCCAATTCTCAGAGCAGAGGCTGCCTATCAGCTTGTCCAGTTTTTTTTAAGTCACAGACTCTGTAAGATTTTAATCCAAATACTAAAGGACTTTTACTCGAGAAGCAGTACAGTCTGCCGTGTCCCTTCAGCTTCACTGCTCTGTAACCTTTTGTCCAGATGAACACTGAGGTATTAATGCTCCTCCACCACTTCCTTTCCCCTTTATGGTCTTATACATATTTCTGCTTATTTGAAATTCTCTCTTGTCATGTTAACATTCTATATAAGATGCATATTCTCAAACCCCACCATAAAGCCCCACAAAGTCCACCTGTTCACATTCTATGGTCGGCATATCTGTGTTTATGGTGAGCTTTACCAGACTGGTGTAAATAATGAATCAATCAATTCTTGTTTTTGATGTACCTTAAGGAGCCTGCAGTCCAAACTAGTTACCTGTGGGCTCGAAGGCAGGATATCCACTGAAGAAAAAGAACATTAATTTACATGTCTCTGGTTAGCTTAGATTCTCCACAGCCACTTTTTAATCATTCTACATTATTTACACTGTGGCCATTCTACAGATGGTTTGGGATTTTTGTTTATTATTAATTTTTTTTTGTTAAATTTGAGGTAAACTTAGGTTCTGTCTATGGTACTCTGCATTTAAGTTTTTACAGTTTGTCAGTTAGGTGGCCCATCATGACAAAGGGGCTGCAAAACCGACAACATTTGAAAACATTAAAACAAAGATGGCTAAGTTTGAAGCCGCAATTCCGTCAGGCTACCCGATACACCTAACGGCCCTGACCTCCCTCTACAGACGTGCAATAACATAAACAACATAGGTGGATTTTTGTGCTTCAGTTCGAGTTTTAGTTTTAGAATTTGAAGAATCTATGCTTTAAAAGCTTTCTATTTATTATGGATTATACAGTCATTACTTGTTGCTCCTTTGTTGTTGATCCACGCAAACACCTTTTGCTCTCTCTTCTGCATAAGTATATACATCTCACTTTTTTAGCTTCTTTATCTGTGTGGCAGCACTAGTGCACCACCCGTTGATGTTGCATAGGTATTACAATGCCTATTACAGCTTTGTTGGCTTTAAGCGGTTTCATCTTTGCACCTAAGCTTTTTGCTAAACTTGTTTCCACTTCATGTGGATAAAACCTTAGAGAAAATTGAAGGTCCATAAAATGAAAAAAGAAACATCCAAATATATCACTAGCACCACAAAAAATAAATAAGGATGCAGAGGAGGCCATCTTACTGACAGAAGCAATGGGAAGTAGCTGAACAAGTATTCATGTCACCACCTCCAGTGTCTCCAGAAGCCCTCTTTCTATGACAGGCTAATAACTGTGAAACAGTGGATCGCTTGCAAGTGGAGTAGCACTCATCCTCTCCCCTCCCCTCTGGTAGTGACTGCCTTCACGCCGCTGTGATCACAGCCTCATTAGCCGTTTTATACAACCATCCTGTGCATTAATTAGACGTGAAACGTCTCTCTTTACCCTTGTGAAGTGACAGGGTGAGATGACGCGGGGGAGGTAAAACCAGTTTGCATTAACCACTGCCCATAGCTTTAAGCTTCTGTGGAACTTAAAATGCTTCCAAACACTGTTGATGTTCATTGTCAGGATGATACCGTCCACTATTAATGATTAAAAAAACTGTAGTACTTAGTTGGTAATGACTGCTTCTGCTTCCTTCAACTAAAAAAGCAAGCAAATAGTGCCTGTTTATTGCTTTTTTTCCCCTGCTCTTTGCTTCAGCTGTTAAGAAATGGTCTCAACCTTTTTACTCATAGTTCAGAGCAGCGACTCAGTATTTGCATAGCGGGACCAGTCTCTTGGGTGCTGTTGGCTCTGACAAGAGCTCTCTGGCTCGTCTGTCCACCCACTATTTAACTGAGCTCGTTCAGGCACGAGCTGCAACATCAGCACCTACTTTTTGATCACTATTGTGGGAGGCAAGATGGTAGGGTTATAGAGTGAGGAGGATAAATATGAGGATGGGAATAGTAAGCCATTAAACATGCAGAGTGGAAGGGAAATTAAGAAAGGTGGAAGAAATAAGTGAAATATCAGCCATAAGGGGGGAGGAATTGAAATTAAAGCGGGATGCAACACAGTGTATTTTGTGAAAGAAACAGCTCCTCTTACAGCTATGTACTCGTACAACTGCCAGAGGATGTCCTCTGAGACAAGAAAACAACCAGTGCATTCTTGGCAACAACATAGCAAGTTCAGGAAAACAAGAAACAACAAGTAGAAAAGAGAACGATACAGAGATGGACTCAGGAGATGCTTCTTGTGTAGCAGAGCTTTCTCTGCAGTTGTGCAAGTATGTCACTGCACGGTTTGGTGTGGAAATATGTGGGTTTGACAATTGAAACTGTTCTCGCTGCTCACACCATTGGTAATTTATGCTTTATTCTTTCAAACTGTGTCCAGAATGCTTAGTTTTTTTCCCTCACTATGTCTAGTATTGTAACTTCTCTTATGTAGGTATAGTGACGCTTATCTAAAAGCACACATGTACCATTAATTGTGATTAATGCATGCAAATTAGCTAAATGTAGTTTGCTGCAGCCTGACTGACCAGCTTCACTGCAGCTTTGCATAAGGCTAATGAATAAGTTGCAGGGGATAATGTCAGGCACCCTCCTATTCTTTTTCACATTTAGAAACTATTTTGACACTCTCCTCCACAGCCTGACCCCACAAGCTGTCGGAGATTTATTACTTGCCAGCTCCCCCTCTATGTCTCTGTATTTCCTCTATTCTTTTAGCTGCAGGTGTTCTGCATCAAAATTTGTACACCTTTTCTCAGCTGGACTGCAGATCTATCTCAAAGAGCTGACTTTTTTTTTTGTTTATTGACTCTGGCTGAACAAGGAGACAGAAACCTTGTGGCAGCGTTTCTCTTTCTGCCACCTACGACTGATTAACACTTGTCTGTCTTGCTGTAGCTGCTCTCGTCCTCTTTCTCCTCTGTTCGATTCCTCTTCTTGATTGATTGCATTACTGTCAACCTCACCTCAAGCTGCTCCTGGTTCGATTCCTCTCTCTAGGTAATCTCCCAGAAGTTTCCTACTCATCTATGGCTAGGGAGATGAAAAACTTTTTCTTTCCTTTGTCTCAAAGTTAGCTGTCTGAACTGTGGCACAAGATCTTGCAAAAACGATATTTCTGTTCTTACAAAATTTCTCTATTTTACTGCACAGTCCTATTAGTATCAGCATCCATTTTCATCTTATAAAGCAAGAAAACATTTATAGTATCGTCTCAGATTATCAGGGCGCATCCTTTAGTCTTGCCATCTATTGGGTCTGTGTTTGAAACTCATCCTTTAAAAGGACTTCTTGAGCTTCTTTTCTTTTTAAAGCAATTTTCTCAGGGAAAAAACAACATTCTCCCTGGGGTTTCTTTAATTACCTATTGTAGTTCTTGCATGACTGGAATTGTGGGCAAGACGACCCTAAGGGAGTCCATTTTGCCCTTACATTTAAGAAACATTTGGCAGTAAAGACTAGCCTGGATGTATGCATGGATAGATGAATGGAAATTGCTTTCTCAATTAAACTTAAACTGGTTTTGTAAATCCCAATCGAACATCAGCTCAACATTGAGAGATAACTGGAAAGCAAGGTCTTTAATTAGCTGTCTTGTCATGTTTGTTTTTACTTTATAGCCTCCACCTTTAAGGCTGTTTTTTTTTTTTACGATCACCATTATTTTTTTTATATATAAATATATTATTAAAAGATCTAAAATATTTAAATCTCATCTTTTGTTAGATAATATTTTTAGTTTCTGTGGCTCATTACACAGAGTATCTTAGACAATTTACTATTATTATTTTTTCGCTATGTAAAAGGACTTTGTGACTTCCTTGGCCATGAGGTTCCCTTGTGTGTGGCTCATATTTTCAGTACACATTGTGTGTGTTCTGCTAAATGCAGTGATGTGTGACACTTTGGAGCCTAATTAACAGAATGGCAGATGTTGAGGAGTGGCAGTTTAGCGTAGATCAGTCAGAAAGAGATTTTTTTCAAAATACAAGTTCATTAATGACCTGAAATGTCTTTTTGCTACAGTTATCCCGTAAAAATAAAGGTCAAAGAGAAGCTGCTATCTGTCAAACTCAACATTTAAGGAACCACTGTGCAATATTAGCAGCCAAAAAAACGTTATGTTGCTGGGTAATGACATTTCCCACCTCATGTTTTATGTTT